GGACGTCTGTAAAAATAAATATACTTATCACCTCCGTGATAAAACTCATGGATTCCGAATAGGGCTTAGTGTCATTTCTTTATCCTGTTAAAGGTGGTTTTGAAGCGTCTGATATTTATATTCAGACAATTACACGCTGTTATCCCCTTACAGTTCCTACTCTCATAAAATATGCTCAATGCATGTTGACCTTTAAACCTTAATTTAACTTTCAACAACAGATATTTCAGCACAATAAATGTTTTTGCGCTGATTATTAATTGTGTCTGTTTTCTGTCTGTCTGACGCGCGTGCACGCTCATTCAGTAAACATTCAAATTTAACACAGACTGTCAGGACGGACCTTTATGCAAAAATGGAAATGCCCGCGTGAATTTGTGACATTTATACATAAAGATATGACCGTTAACTGAAAGGTTTTTTGCGCTGAGGACGCACACGCATCTGTTGAAGTGCCTGACAGGGCAAGCCATTACGCTATGCATTAGCTTAAAGCTTAAAATAAAGAATTCTCACATTTTGGGTAGCTTGGATCACGTAACTCTCCTGCAGCATCTCATTCTGTTTCCTCCACTACTTTAGATGCATTTTGTCCATAGAAATAAGTAAATTCAGTGCTTTAATTTGACGCGACCGGCTGAAGTTGGACAAGTATGTAAACTCCGTTGGACGTGCACTGTGGGCAGACCCGATTAATCGATAATGAGAATCGTTGACGATGATTTTCATAATCGATTTTATCGATTAGTTGTTGCAGCCCTAGCGATATATATCGTCTGCGATAATATCGTAATCGTTGTTTTAACAATGTGTGATTTGACAATCAAGTATTTTGCAAAAAACAAAAACAGTGCGAGTGTGTTCTTTCACTGCATGATTCAGTCTATTAAAATACATTAAGAATGATCAGAAAACTCAAAAAATGTATACATTTATATCATTTCATATAGTTAATATCACACGAAGAGTGCCGATTTTTTCAAAAATAAGCATGATCACAAATGTGATATTGATTTTATGCAACAGTTCAATAAACAAGTTAATATTAAGAGACTTACGTTTTAGACACTATATTGTCTGTTTTGCGCTATTTCGACAACAAAAATAATTCCAAACACAGCCACAGCTCTGTTTTGCGTCTCTGAGCAACGTGACGGTGATTCGTTCCTGAATGAATCACTCGTTTAAATGATTCGGTTCAATCGCAATGACTCACTTATTAACAGTGACTCGCTGCCACCTACTGGCGGTTTTAATTTCACATTTAAAGTTTATTTTAATTATTTAAATAATTTCGAATAACAGCATGCAACGTTTTATGTTTGTTTAATATATCAAAACATTATTTATGCATTCGTGACTGCAGGTTAAATGCATTCATGTTCTGCATTAAACAGTAGTGTGTAAGTGCATCTAAATGCCATATCAGATGCAGCTTCTGCGAAGATTAATTTTGTTGACACTGATTTCATTTGTTTGGTAACAGCCCAAATGTCTTATTATTCTAATTCACTGATTAAATGTAAGAATTTGACTGTGAAAAATTAACTTTATTAAAGGTAAAAAATGCCCATAAAAGGTAAAAATCAATTTAAACTTAAGGAAAAGATTAATTTCTATCACTGATGTGAACTGAGCACCACACAGAATATGCAGAATATCAAAAACTCCGCACAATAACACACTCGGCAATATATCGTCTAGTTATCGTTATAGAAAGAGCCCCAGAAAACATCGAGATGTCATTTTGTGATCTAGAGGATGATCCTGACTGGTGTCTTACAGGTGAGTGGTCAGGTGACCAGGCGATGAAGATCCACTCGTGTCCCAGGCTGTTGGTGGAGTCCATGCGGTACAGGATATAACAGGGCAGCTCTTTATCCAGCGCAGGAAGCACAAGAGCATCATAGTCTTCCTCCCAGCTGCGAGCGGCCGCTTTGGTGAAGCCTAAAACCAGCTCCTCTGAAACCACATCCACCCCAATCACTCATTCTGTGTGTCATGCACATCTGGGCCCGTATTCACAAAACATTTCATCTCACCACTAAGAGTGCTCCTAAACACCAGCAAAGAGTTTTCTCTTAAAACCTATTCGCAAAGCTGCTGAGACAAACGTGTACTAAGGAACAGACAGAAGTCTTAAGCTCAGCGTAAGGGGGCGGGGTTAACCTCGTTGCTATGGATGACGTCAGCGTGCTTATTAACTATGCACACAGTGATTGGCTGATAGTCTCTGTCGGAGATTTGTTCATAGAAATATTGTAGAGTGCGATATTATGTTGCCTAAGAGTCACTAAATAAACAAGTATGTGTTCGGCTAATTGTCAGCCTCTTGCATGTGAGCTTCTCGTAAACAATTAGTGAATATTAGTGCTGTCAAACGATTAATCGTGATTAATCGCATTCAAAATAAAAGTTTTTGTTTACATAATACATGTGTGTGTACTGTGTATATTTATTACGTGTATATATAAATACACACACATACAGTATATATAAACATAGCATATTTTTATTAAATATATACATGCATGTGTATTTGTATATACATAATAAATATACACAGTACACACACATGTATTATGTAAACAAAAACTTTTATTTTGAATGCGATTAATCACGAAATACTCTTAGAGCAAAAAATTATGAGTCCTAAATTTAGGACTGACACACCCATTATTTGTACGATTATCTCCTAAATCGGCGAGTTATGAGCTACTTTTAGCCTTAAGCTGTGTTGTGAATACAGGCCCTGATTTGTTCTGTTTGTAAATGATCCTGCGTGCGGTTTTTACCGTTTTCGATCACGATCTTCACGAGTCTGTACTCTCCGTTCCTGGCGTTGCCAAAAACATCCTTCACCTCGTCAGCAGCTAGAAGACAAGCGAACAAACAAACGTGTGAACTACAAGCAAATATAACATCAGCCGCTGATTATAATCAGGCTAATCAAGGTCTAAAGCATCAGAGTCAACAGTGCCTGACTAATTGTCATTATTATCTAGTATGAATATAATATCTCATATATTAATATTAATATATAAAGTAAGGTGTATGTTTTCTGAAGCTCTGACTGGCTACAATTTTATATAAACTGCATATAATAACAACAACAACAATAATAATGGAAGCAGTGTTATTTTAGTCGTTTAAGGAATTTTGTTGTGCATTTTTTCTTCAAAAATAAAATATATATAAATAAAATAAAATATATATCAATTCACACACACAGTGATATCGTTCTCTATATGTAGAGCCATTCATTACAACACATCCACTCAGAGCTATGACTTATATATATATATATATGAACATATAGGTGTAAGATACTCTGTGTTCAGTGTGAGATATTACAGTATGCTGGTGTTATTATGGGATGCATGTGGCGCGCGATGAAGGCGTTGGCCGCGCTAGTGAGAAGCACAACTCTGGCCATTACAAAACACTGATGCGATCAATCATGAAGATGATTTTAATCATAAACCTCAGGTCTGAGGGAGTGAAATCACTGCCGACAGACGCGCTCGATTCACAGCTTCATTTGTTTTCTAAACGCAGCATTTCGGCACTATGCGAGTTTCTCGCCGCTCGCTCATCCTCACCAAACAGATCCTGATGTATAAATCATAAGAATATTTCGCTCTTACCCTGAATACCCGTCTGATGAGACATTATTTCGCTCGGCGGAGGATGTTTGGAGACTCTCGATCCCGGAAGAAGGAAGCGGAGCGGCGGTGACGTCACGTGCCTCTGACGCGTCACCCCTCCCTCCGCACTGCGCATGCGCGGACATCAAACAACCTAATATACAACCTAATAATATCTTCATCTTCTATTACATTGTGTGTGTGTGTGTGTGTGTGTGTGTGTGTGTGTAAGAATCCAAATCTTACACCTTTAGGTATATAGGCTAACTATATATTTGTGTTCTCCTATCTTAATAGTTTCTTCATATTCTTCATTTGCGATGCTTTATAAAATCTCTTCCTCTAAAACATAAAAACTGAGGGTTTTATGGGTTTACAAGGTTTTCTTTTTTTTTTTAATTAATTTTTTAATCAATTAGCAGAAGTTCAAAGGTTGAACATTAATATGTGCCTGCAGTAAAATAATGTGTTCATGCTGCATAATTAATCAATTATGAAACAAATAAAATTTCAGCTGTAAAGCAGCTCTACAGAAGACAATAGAGTTTCAGATCAAGTTTTTGTACAGTCAGATCAATACTGTTTTCTCAATATTAAATGTCTTTTGCGATATAATAATAATAATAATATGTTTTTTGTATCTTTGTGGGTGGTTGATGTGCATAATGTGTATGAATATGTTTTAATTTCTAATGTATAAGGTTTTGTTGAAATGCTGGCTACTGAGTCCATCACAAATTTCCCCTTTGGGGTCAATAAAGTACATTTCATTTCATACTTGAAAATTAAATCAAATGAACACAGAAAATAGTAAAAAACATTTTAAAAATACAATCTATAAAATCTATAAAAATATCAAACAACAGATATTTATAATACTAAAATAACAATCAGATGGAACCTAATTATTTTATTTTATTTTATGAAAACATCCCAATATTATTGATTTTACGTAAAATTGATAAATAAATAAATGTTTAAAATAAATAAATAACAATACTGGTGATAATAATAGGCTAAGCCTAAATAAATAATAAATAAAACATTTAAAAAAAACTTTTTCTTTCTTTCTTTTTAAATATCAATCCAAACGAAAGTCCTCTAAGATCCTCTGAAATTTTGGAGACGTTCGGTTTGTCAGACCTTATGATTTGCGAAGAGAGAGAGATACACACACACACACACACACACAGAGAGAGAGATACACACACACACACACACAGAGAGAGAGAGACACACACACACACACACACACA